CTCCTTATTTTACGTGTGCCATTTTACGTGCAGAGAATTACAAAGCTGTAATAAAACATTGTAATAATTACCATTCTTTCTTCCTTTCTACATTTGCAGACTTTTATTCCCTAATATTATTCCATTCAGAAGCAGAAATATTTTTGTATTAGCTTTCTTTTCTTAAGAGTCTAATTGTGACTTAAACTGGATGTCAGACTATGTAAGGGATTAAAGTAAAACTAGATGGATTATTTATCATAGGATTTATTGGACTGGATTTAAATTTTAATTATCCTAAAGGTATTAGGGTGAATTTTAGTGTTTCTGCACAGCTTTATGGAACAAGACGCAAGAAATTGTTCAAATTAAAGCAGGTGGTTTTACAAGTAATTAAGGGAATATTTTTTAACATTTGAAAACATTAATACTAATTTATCCTCTGAGTGTTCAGCTTCTCAGTATGTCTATGAAAGAGGAAATATGAGATTGTTATTGGTATTTTTATTATTGCACAGTCAGCAGTAAGATTTCTGGTACTTTCCCTTTTGTTCTGTGACTTTCCTAAGTGTTTTGGACTAATCTGTGATTTAAAAATTGTTCTTCAAATTTGATTCTGAAGTTCTAAGAATATGTTTTAAAAGACTGCATATCATTCTGTTTGAAGGAGAAAAGTCAGTAAAATTGAAAACAGATGGACGATCTAGAAATAGTTATGCTTATTCCTGAACCCTAACTACATGAGGGCCATAAAGATGCAGGCATTTGCTTTGCCTTGTGCATTTACAGGACAGTGTCCGTCTCTAAACAGTACCTGCAAACAAATCAAGATATTGCATAACATCAACCAGGAAGGAAATCAGAAATATATTTCTTACAAGGTTTGTTCTGTTCTTGGTTTTGATTTCTTACTTTTGCTAGCAGAACAAAAGAATCCTTGTAAATATCACTGTAATAGCAGGTTAAAGAGCAGGGAAAGAGCTTTAGTTCTTTATTTCATGAAAATTTGGAATTCTAACACTAATTTTATGGAGTCTGGTTTTCTATGAGAGCCATGAAATGGTAGGGTTGCAAAGGAACTTTCACCTTTGGTACTATGTGGAACTGAGGAGAATCTCTAACTAGATGTAAGCAAGTTATCACTACACACTGAATTATCTGCAAGGGTCAGATATTATCGTATAGAATAGAATCAGTGAATAAGTGAAATTGGAAAAGTCCACTAGGATCATCCAGTCCAGCTGTCAACTCATCCTCATTATGCCCACTAACCCATGTCTCTCAGTGTCACATCTCCACGTTTCTTGAGCACTTCCAGGGATGGTGATTCTACTGCTTCCCTGGGCAACCTGTTCCAATGCTTGAACAGACATTCAGAGAAGAAATTTTCCCAATACCCAAGCTGAATCTCTTGCAACTTAAGGCCGTTACCTCTCATACTGTCTCTAGTTACCTGGGAGAAAAGAACCCCCACCTCTCCACAATCTCGTATCAGGCAGTTGTAGAGAGCGATAAGGTCCCCTCCAAGCCCCCTTTTCAGACTAAAAAATATCAGTTCCCTCAGCCTTTTGCTCCAGACCCCTCACAGTTTTGCTTCCCTTCTTTGGACATGATTGTGTACCTCAGTGTCTTTCTTGTAATGAGGGGTCCATAACTGAACACAGTACTTGAGGTGTGACCTCACCAAAGGTGAATACAGAGGGATTATCACTTCCCTGCTCCACGGATCCCTCCACCCCACTAGTCACAGAACTTGGCCAAACCAGCTCATAATCCACTGACATCTGAAAAGACTCAAAATATGAGTGTAAGTTAGTCATAGTGTAAATCTAAATTTCATCTGCAGGTTTTTTGAAAAATGTCATTTTCCCAGACTTTTATCCTATTTGATGAATCTGTGTTTTTCTTCAAATCTCTAGACAGAGTGTTTGTAGAGATCAGAAAAGTTGGATTCTTTGCGATGAAATTTACTAAGCCATTAACACTGCCTAATGTGTAGTGGTTCCCATTGGAATTATTTCATACGAAAGCAAAGTGCTATTGAAATGGACAACATTGTAAAGACAATGACACAGTCTTACATTTGTAAATAATATCAGTGGGATTATGGATGAGAAAGTTTATGAAGATAGAAGAACACTGAGTCACTAAGCAACATTAGTGAGCTGATCTGTACATTTTTTTTCCTTTCATGTCTCTGTTAAATACTGAACCTGTTTGCACTGGATGGGAATTTATGACAGCAAAAGCTACTCTTCACTTTTTCAAACTGTACAAGCAATAATGAAAACAACATATAAAAATGAAAAAAAAAAATCAATGGTAGTACATTCTATCTTAAGCTTGCTGAAAAACTGTGCAGTATTACCTGATGGCAAAGTGGTGCAGAAGTGTATAAAAGCATGAAGATTGCAATTCTTTGTCTGTGAGTTAATAAATAAATAACTAAACTATTTCCTTGAGAACCAGCAACAAAACAATTTGATCTTGCCATCTAGAGGTGGTTAAATTATGAAAAATTGCCCACTAAAGATTCAGCTGATCTATGAATCTAATCTGTGAACTGTACAGTGCTCAATGTAGTGTAGCACTATCTATCTCATTTTCTACATTAAAAGCAGTGAGATGTGACCAATGTCAGTTTTAGTTTATGCATTGTATAGGTAATGTCTGTGGGCAGGATAATGAACTGTGAGACAAGTATACTGTAACAAAGTATCTAATTTGTGTTGGGAAGGTTACTTAATTAACTAGTAAAAACATCATGCATCTGAAGCATGAATTTTTAATAGGTGGTTTAAAATATTTTATTTAGTCCAGTAGAAGTAGATAGGAATGTCGTGTTACCTCTTGTCGAATTAAACAAGTAAATATATAAAAGAATGGGGAAAAAATAACTGTGACAATAAAGAATCATTTTTTATAAGTAGGTACGATTCAATGATTCTATAAACATAATTATGTTTATATGTATTCATAGAGTTAAAAATTAACCTTGTTAAAAATCTGTACATTAAGTGATTTAATGACTGTATAGGGTAAACACAAGAAATAGCAATGGAGTGGGGAACTAAATTGATATCTTGTTTTAAAGTTGGTAGAAAGGCCAAGCTGGATGTGGCTCTGGACAGCCAGGTCTAGTGATTGAATCACAGAAGAATCATAGAATTGTAGGGGTTGGAAGGGACCTCCAGAGATCATCAAGTCCAACCCCTTTGGCAACCCTGCACATAGCAGGGGGGTTGAAACTAGATGGTCATTATGGTCCTTTTCAACCCAGGCCATTCTATAACTCTGTAAAGATTGAATAGGCTTGTATTTAGTGGAAAGCATTCCTTTTTAAAATGAATTCATTAATATATATATATTATCTAGATAAATATGTCCGTATTATTTTTTCCTGGTCAAGTTTCTCCTGAAGAAAATGTTAGGGAAAGAATTGCAGAAGAACTGCTGTAATGGCATAAGGAGGCAGGTGGGAGAAGTATGCGTTTTTCCTTGTCTTCTGAACTGAAACACTGAAACAAATTTTTGTTTAACGGAACATATTCAAAACACTTGTGCTAACGTTCCCTACTAGTACCACTCAGGACTGGGTCTTGAGTGGTTTTAAATGCTGTCTGCCAGTAAATCACACAGCTTTTTAAACAGATCAATTTATTTACAGAATAGTTGTTTTGGACACAGCCATATATAAAGTAAAAAGTAACCAGACACAAATGTGAAACTTAGTGAGCTGAGAATAGAACACATTTTGATGGAAAGTTGGAAAAGTGCATTTTGAGGGAGAGAGGATGAGGCTATGTCAACAACATTTACTTCATATTGGCCTTTAGCTCATCTATGACATACTTCATGTTCGCATCTCAAAAAGGTCACAAATGAGAATGAATGATATAATTATTTATGAAGGAAACAGATCATTTATAAAGGTGAACTGCATTAACTTGTAGCACAAGGTACCTTTTTAAAGCAAGTAATAATTTTCTTTGTCTCGCTGGTTTGAAAAATGATTACTGAAACCATTCTTTCCTGTTTGTATTCATAAAAGAAAAGAGAACTTTGGGGTGAAATTTTTGGTTAGATTCATATACTCCAAAAGTATTGCTTACAGTAAAAAAAAAAAGTCTGTTTTCAGAGAATACATTCAGTTGCCTATTTTAAACAAGCTACTGGACTTGACAAAGGTTAGCTATGATTTTTTTTATTCACAATCACTAGGGCTTGAAAAAAATATGTACATGTAAATGTGTTCATAAAAGTTGCATATGACTATTACTTTCAGTCTAAAAAGTGTAAGAAAAAGTATAAGGTACAGTAGAGCACTTAAATTTATTGGAAATCTATCCCACTGAATATAACTCTGTAGGGTTATTAAATGGCTCAGAAACATTTCAAGAGAAAACAAAAATATATTCCATAGAAAATTCCAGGAGTTTCAAACCACAATAGATATTATACAGAATTGATTTGCTGACTGATTTGGTAATAATTGGTAATCAGTAATATTCTCCTTCATTGCTTTGTATGGATTATATGGTGCTGTGTTTCTGCAGGGCTTCTGTGTTTCACTGTACACTGCAGCAGTTAGACATTCTTTCCCAATTTTTGTTTTTACTCCGGGAGTTAAACCAATCAGTGTGTGCAACAAATACTTAGTATGCTCAGTAATATTTATGCATTCTTTTATCTGCTGGACTTCCTTATGTGTAAATCACCTGCTTGCATGTAAAAATCTTCATATGTCTAGACTAAGGAATTTACAGATCTCTGGATTTCATCCCACACAGTGTGTACTTTTCTAGCTGTTAGCATGTCTTATGTAATTTCCCAGAGATAAAATATCAAATGAATTAAGTTGAATATGGAAATGGGAAATGTTACATGCAACATTTTACTCTGTGATATTTCAAAGAGAATGCATAAAGAATTGCAGGTTTACCTCTGTATTTTAGTACTAATTGCTGCTAGTGAAATTTATGCCCTACTTTAATTAATTTCCTTCTTTTCTTCTTTTACAGAATAATGATATAATCTATTACAATGCAAAAGATGATCAGAATGATGTAAGTAATTTTTTTTCCTTTATTGCCTATAATCTCAGAAAATTAAGGGAATGAAAAGATTAATTGAATGCTAAATAAACATTCAAATATTTTGCAGAAGTAAGAAAACCAGAAACTTAAAAATTTATTTACAGGTTTTCTTAAGAGCCAGAAATTATTTTTTTTTCTTATTCGCAAGACCTGGTTTATTCATGCACTGTTTTGAGTTGCTGATCAGGGAATGTGTAGGTAGAAAAAAATCCTGACAGCAGTATCATTCACTTTTTGATATGTAATATAAATATGATTATAGGATTTGAGAATCAAAATGAGAGGTGTAAATAATTTACTCAGAAGGAGTACTATTTTGTTCTGTATTCTAAGAATTCTTCCACATGAGATGGAAGCAGATAGAAAATGTTATTGAGTAACTGTTTTCATACATTTTGTGATCACTCATATGTGTATAATAAGGTTGTGAGAAATTGAAAATCTGGTCTCAAATTTTAGAGAAAATGTATGGGATTTCAATGCCCAGTTCTACTGAAACTCTCACAGCGAGTGATTTGAAGTTTCTTATCTGGCTTTAAATATTAAAAATCTTAATGTCTTGGGAGAAGGCAAGTTATATTCACCTTTACTTGAGATAATACAACCTCTTGTCTTCAGTATAGATTTAATTTATAAAGCCATGGAAAAGATTTTGTAAGTGTATTAACCAGAATCATAGAATCATAGAATCACCAAGGTTGGAAAAGACCTAAAAGATCACCCTAAAAGATCAGAAGTGCCAGCATGCATCATTTGCATTTTTTAATCAAGTATTCTTTAGAGATTGATGGCATCACTATTGCAGTTGATGCTTCTGTTGTAAGACAATTCAAGAAGATGCATATATCATGCCAAGCAAAACTATCTGATATGCTTATACAGAATTATGAGTACTGGATTTCAAATACCATAAACAAATTAATTGTCTTAAGTTCTGAAATGTGTATGCCTTAAAACTAAGATAGGTTTCTTCTGATTGGATTCACTAGTGTGTCAGGTATAGATGGATTACAAAACTAGGTTTCACTTAGTTTTTGAAGGTAAACATACCATGTAGTACAGCAGTGGTAAATTAGGGTCTGAAATAAAAAGGCCTGCTGCATCTGTTATGATCAAATGGTATTAGGAAGGGTCTTGAGGTGAATTCAGACTGGTTAGGCAAACCAGAAAAGGAAATTTTGCTCCAGAGTTTACTTATGTCTTTGACTTTATTTCAGATAATTTTTTCCTTATGGTGCAAAACAATTTTATTCCACCAGAACTCTTATTTTTATTTCTGTGTGAGGGTTTTGTTTTGTTTTTTCCTTTTAAACTCTTGGGGTGAAAGTTGCAATAATAATTACTGTTAAGTTAAAAATAGCTCCTTGTTAGCCAGGGCCAACCTGTTAATCAACAAGTAACACTTGTTTATTGTAGCATTTATGCCTTTTTGGCAATCTGATCAGATCTTTTTCTGGCTGAATTGAAGACAATTTCCCCATGAGTTCTAATTGAATACCTTAGCCACTGCTCCTACTTGTTGGTGTCTCACTCCAAATTATAGGAGGGAGAAGAGGTTTTCTGATATCTGTATACCAGGCGTGAGATTAAGAAACAACAGTTCAAATATTGGTCCGACCAATTTATTATAAATCCAAATCAGGGAGACAGGGAAGGGAAGGACGGCGACTGTTATGAATTAGGGTGATGGGGAAGGGAGAGAGGGCAGTAGAAAAGATAGGAAATAAGAATTGCGTAAAGTGGGGATAGTCATCACCAGGATCCAGCAGCGGTTCTGTTGCATGTTATTCTGACAGTCTGAGGCAAAAGCGCAGGGGGAGAGCAGCAGCAGCACGGCCAGCCTTGGGCAGCAAGGAGGTAGCAGGAAGAAGCCGCAGGGTAAGTCTGGGAAAAAGCAGCAGGACTCAGGTAGCAGGCCCAGGAGAGTCCATCAGCATGCAGGCATTCTAATGGCAAACGCCTTTGTTCTTTTTCAGCATGCAAGTAGAGTGCAGAGCAAGTCTAGGAGAGAGAGATGCATGTTGTGAGGTTTCTCATGTCAGAAACCCCTCTTTGTAAATAATCTGTTTCCAGAAAACCCAATCTCATGGTTGTAGGTCCCATTTTTATCCTTCTCTGCCAGTGTGGCATTCCTGGGCGCTTGGGTAAGAGTCATGTGCAGCAACCCCATGAGATGGCCATCTCCCTCGAGATTGCTGCTGGCCTTGTCCATCTATGTCCCTCGGACAAAGGATTTCTTAACCTTTGGCCAGGACTTGCATGGACTTGTTCATCTGTGTCCCCAGCAAGCTTTGAGGCAATGGTGTAAAAGAATAATCTCTTACAGTTGGTTCAGCCTTTCTGCTATGGCCTGTATTTGTTCATCCTAGTAAAACGTATTGTAAATTCTTTTTCCTGTTGTTTAATAAAGCTAAACATTTCATAATGATGCTAAAAATTATTAAACTTAAGCTCTAATAAAAGCAGTAATCCTTGATAAGCTCTGATGACAATAAGAAAATAAAATGTCCCACTCATACAGCTGAAAATTGACAGATGGTTGGGCGTTTATGGGCAAAGAAGATGTTCATAAAGATTAATTTCATTTTAGGAAGACAACCTTGTAGGCAACAAAGAAACTGGTGTACATCACATAAAATAATGTCTTTGCTCTAGATTGCCCTTTTAGAGTAGCACACTTCTCAGCCAAATGAGGGAAGAAAGAAGATAGGTCTCATACAGCTAATGGTACCTTCATACTGGGGTCTCTAACAGTTTAGTTTTGGGCTGAACTTTTGATCGGGTGAATAAATAGCAGTGTGTTGGGGCTCTGGAGGCACTCATTAGCCTTACTAGTCATCCAACACGTGCATTACCTTATGTGTAGACTGTCTTAAAACAAATAAGGTATTTTAGTTATGGAAACCTTGGCAATGAGTGTATATGAAACAGATGACACAACTTAGCACCTTTTTCATAGGCAGAGATTTTAAATGAGTCTTTTTCCAAAACACTGACTAATAAACTGTATCTGCTGTCCATTTTTTGTCTCATAAGAAATTTGTACTTTCTGTTCTTTTATGCCATAGACCTTTATTTAATCATACTACCTGACAGCTTTTTCTAAAAGTAGAAGTAAGAATAATTAGTATCAGTAATTTATTCATTAAAATTAGGTATCTAAGATTAACCTAGTCACTGTGTATAGCTATTTGGTTTATTCTGTGCTAAGTGTTTGACACAGGTCAGCTGAATGACTTTCAGGTATATATTTCTCTCTTCAGATCTTTTAAATCATAACTTTTAGATGTTTAAAAATTAGAAGAAATTAATCTCACAGATCTTGTTTTCCTGTCTTAAATCCACTAATCCTTTAAAATTGTAGCTTTACAAGAGGAAAAATCCTCTATTTTAAGTCAGTGTATTATTTTCTAGTGTATATTAATATTCTTCACTGTATTTTATTTTCCTTCTTCCTGTTCTTGTACCACATTCAGAAAATCCTTCTCTTTCACTTTCTATCTGTAGTATAGATGAGTCTTTTAGAATCTAATGTCAGTGTTCACTTGGACTTTAAGGAAAAATAAGTGTATTCTTTAGCTTTAGTCTCCCAAATAAAATAATTAATTTGTAACCTCTTAGTCCATCAGTCGGTAATATAACTTTTGGACCCTTATATTACAGCAGTAATTAGATTCTAGTTGCTCATTTCCCCCACAGTGCTGTAATATGTGAGCACTTCATGATAATTAATGGTTTTATCTTCACAACAAGGTAGGAGGTATTACATTCTCATTTTTCGTATCACGTAGGAAGATAATGGCAAAATTTGTAATTTAATACAGGTCTCTCAGGGTTTCATTCACTGTCCTGTTCCCTAGAACTCTTTCCATTTGATATACCGTCTGTGTAATGTACTTTCATTTGCAGGTGTCAACTACTTTTGTCGAATCACTCTGTACACATGATGCAGGGTGTTTATTGGACCCACATTAGTATTCCCTTTCCCAAAGGTTTTAATATTGCTTTGCCTGTTTTTTTATTCATTTTCTCTTCTTGTCATTTGTTCTCCACCCTTTTTGCAGTTATCTTTGCTTCACTATGCACTTCTTTTCTCATTTTTGTAATGGTCTTCATTTCATGTCTAGTGATTTTGTGTTTTCTTAATAGAACCTTGCCAAATCAATTTTTTCTGTTCTCATTGGTTCAGGTAATCCTTCTATTCACTGTGTATTAAATTGTTCAGTTACTTAATTTCATTCTTCCTTGATTCTTCCCCTATCATTTCTCTGATCTTCTCTTTGTGTCTTGTTCCTTTACTACCTTAGTGCATTTTCTTCTTGTATTTTTATGTATTCCTTCCTGTAAGAGATATAACAGCCTAAGGAAAAGCAGATTGTGTTTTTGTCATAATTTAACTGAAATGTCTAAGCAATACAAATAAACAAATAATTCTTTAACATTAAAGCAGCCATGCTTCGCTGGAAGTTTACAGCACAAAGGTCTTACTCATTAGACTTTAATTGGGAGCTGGCATTTTTGTCTCCTGGCAAGAGTTGTGTCCCCACTTAACACCATTGATTTACTAGTGATTTTTTTAATACAATCTGATGTTAGTATTGCAGTCATGATTAACAGCAGTACTCCATGTGGTGTTATTGTTCATGTATTAATGAGTGGTAGTAGCACTTTTTGGTTTTATGTTAAGTAATTAACATAAAAGATCTGGAATTACAGTTGCTTTTGGGAGTAAGTATCTGCAGAAAATGTGAATTGACCCTGTGATTAGGGCCAATGTGTGGATTCTGGATCAATCCTGAGTATACCTATGGCTGTTTAAAATATAAAAATCTTTTTTTATTATTATTACTTTATGGAACATTCAGGGAGAAATCTTGTAAGAACATTTCTGAATTTGCCACAAGGTTTAGACTGCATTTCTAAATTAGTGATTCCTTGCTGTTTTGGAACAATATCATAGAATCATAGAA